AAGAAAGTGATTTACAAAAAGTATAATTTAAAGTTTTTCTAATTTTCTCCTAATTTTTTTTTGGGTGGGGGGGGACATTGACCATTTGACCTCATGGTTAAGTTCCCACTGCTCCCTCTCCTGTTTATGTCTTAGCCAGTTGGGAACTTTGGGGTTATTTTATGATATATGATTACTCTTGCTTTGGCTTCTTTGTATACCGGGTGTTGCAATTTATATGTCACACAGACAAATATTTTAAAATTTGAAATACTGAAGATTCTAAATCATATTTTTTCTGGTAAATTCAAAAATTTAATAAAAAAAACCTAATCAAACAAACGATTCTCACAAAAAAAAATAATTATGTAGTTTCTATTATAAATTCAAATAAACTATCGAAACCGCCCACAAAAATTAATGAGAGGTCGGGACAAAAAATACCACAAGCTACAATGAGCTCTCACAAAATGAAAAAGGAACGCCACAAAAAAAAGACCGTCGCGTCTCCGCTCAATATTTTCGAAAAAATATTAATGAGGTTCTCGTTATAAGGCGGACTACAAAAATATAATTGTAATAAAATTTGAATAAAATAAAAGTCGGCCCAGCTACTATAGTGGCCATTCGGCTGAATTTATTATTTTCTAAATGACCTGGTTATAAAATGAATTCCGGAGTGAAACTACATAATTATTTTTTCTTTCTTTCAGGCAAGAATATTATTTATAGACATATGCCTGGTTTTTATAAAACTCTTGCAAATTCTATGACACAAGATTTCTTTTTTACTTTTATCATGTATCAGTTCTATTTTTTGTACATTTAAACAAAGTATTGATTAAAAAAAAATGTTATAAACTGTGCCAAAATTGAATTAAACGCATAAACATTTATTCAACAATTAATACAAGACTAAACCAAGTCAGACTGATATAATTGCAAGCAAAATATTTCACTCAATTACCATCAGAGGCAAAAACCTATCTACAAAAACGATTTCATGTATTTTAATGATTATTAATTTAACTTTAATACACTCCGCGGCAGCTTATATGCAAACATTATTTAAATATGCACTCGTGATCGTGTATCTTAAAAGCAAACAGCAATTACATGTATATTAATGTCAATTAAGTAGTTTGAAAACCTTCAGGCTAATGTTTGTTTCACGATCATGATGGATAAATTATAATTATAGGTTTCCGTTAATAAGAGTTTCATGAATGAATCATAAATATTTTTAAGTCAGTTTAACTGGTATAGTTAGTTACAACTGGCCAACTTGACAGTATAGTTGACAAAATACACTGGCGTGCATAGAAATCGGCCCATGTTAAGCCTGTCCAAAGGTCGTTATACTGCTCTTTGTCTAGCACGAATTCTTTGTTTTAGCTCATTCAGTAAATTTATCATCCCATAAATCTATCGTGTTTAAGTCTGGACTACATGCTGGCCATTCCATAACCCGAAAACCTACTTTTGAAATAGAATCGTGTACGGTTCTTGATGTGTGTGCCCTCGCATTATCATGCATAAAAGTGAATTCGTTTCCAATGTAGTCGACGTAAGGTACCACATGAACTGCTAAAATCTCAACAATTAACCTCAGCACCAGTTAAAACTCCCCTCTCGTGCCAAAGGTCGTCCCAACAGATAAAAACTGGGTCGGTTCGCGCAGTCATAGAAATTGTACCTCAGATCATGCAGAAACCACCTCCATAAGCAATCCGCTCCTCAATGCAGCATTCTGCGAATCGCTCATCTGGCCTCTGGAACACTTTTCTTCTTCGGTCGCTACCATAGAGGCATATCCTGGTCTCATCTGAGAATAAAACACATTCCCCGTGTTCTAGTGGCCAATTCAGATGTTCCGTGCAAAAGGCAGGCGTGTTTGACGATGAGCTGGGGTAAGTTTTGGACCAATTGCGGGTGTTTTGGGGGTCATGTTACTTTCCTTCAATCTTCGTCTTACGTCACTGACTAACAGTCACTCCTCGCAGCTGTTGTTGCACCTGAATAGCATTAAGATGCCGATTTCTTAATATTGTTGTATGTCTCTTTCTACCAGTTCCTACGAAAGGATCGAGTCACCTCATATCGTTCACACACTCTTCGAACTGCTCCGCGTGCCATATGCAGTGCCGAGTTACAACTCTCTGTTTAAGTCCATTTTCGACTAAAGCGATTACTTTGGCAGCTTTTTTCCGTGATATATGCATTAAATTACAACACTAATCAAACATTGAAACACAACAAATCAAACAATGAAAGAAAAATGTGCAAATTTCGATTACAAAGTAACAGTCAAGTATAGTAATTGCAATATTTGATAAGTTTTTTATTCTTATTGTCACCACAACACAAATGCCTTTCATTTGTTTACCCGTTGCTACGCATATAAACGATAAGTACTTTGGATAAATTTATACTCATATTAAAGCGTGTTAAATTGTTTTTGAAACAGCTCATATTTTTTTCTTGGTCTGATAAATAGATTCTAAAAGACACAGTTAAAGTCAAAGTTCATAGTGGGCCGATTTCTATGCACGCAAGTTTAGTATATTGTTTTATTAGGAGTAAAAATGATAATTTTTGTGGCGAACCTGTACGCTTGACGTTACAAGCGATGCACGAAAAGTCATTTTTACTCCAAATAGAACTTACTATTTTTTATACCTCCAGATCATGTGTTCATGCATGCTTGTCAAGCTTGCAGTAGTGCGTGTAGCCACCTTAACATAAACGCAACCTTGATAATTTATTAATTCGCAACAATGAGAGTAGAACTGGTAGATCCTTTTAAATCAATTATTCTATAGAGATTGGACACCAAAGAGTTCTGCTGTTGGATAAAATTTTGTATGGCACTCGCGTGTTATAACATACCGTGCTGGCAACTGTTACTTTTGGGTCGGCATTTACATGTGTGTGGAAGTAAATCGAATAGGGATCTTATTAAGTCGGAGTGAGAGAAATGCGACCAACCGACGCGACGCGCGACTGTTGTTTTTTTCAAGAGATCACTAGATAAAATCATTAGACATGTTTCTGAGCATCTGAAATGGAATTATAAGGATATCGTTAGGGTGTCATTTTTTTATAACGAGAAAACGTCAGTAATCGCGATAATTTAAAAACTTAACTTTTTGGGCCATAACTCAAGAACAACTTTAGATATTAAAACTTTTTTTTATTTTCAGGATCGGATATTTTACAATATATTTACATAAGAAAAATTCGATGAGGTTGTTTTTTCCATTCAAAAATTGTAAACAATCCATCCATTTACTTTTAGAGCATAGCAATTTTTAGCAATCGTGTAATTTTTTTATTGATAAAGATTTTCACATACTGTCTACAAAGAAAATACAGCAGAAATATTAACAAAGTTTTTGAAAAAACTACAACCTATTATTTCTAATAGATTTCGAGATATCGATTTTTGAATTCAGAGTTCTAATAGCGCGACCACTATCGAACACCCACTCAACTCTTATTTACCAAATTAACTTATTTTTACCAAAAATGCAAGTGTTTCTAGCTTGCACTTAAAAAAATTCAAGCTATAGGGAAAATTACAACGACTCGTTAATAAATAAACAAATTAAGTATCACAAGACGTAATTAAATCGTGAAGCTGAACGCATGACGTACACCTTTCCCTAAAACTTTAAGTACTGACAGAGGTATTAATTGGGTCGACCGGTCAACTGCAAAAAATCTGCTATTTCCCCTTCCACGTCTCTTAACGATGTGCACAGTTTCTCGGTTTATTTCATACGTTTTGTAACGTGTTTACTGTCCTCTCTTTGTTCAGTACATTATAAACGAATTGTACTCTTCTTACATACGGAAATCTCGACCCAAGACTAACCTTTGCCAGCCTTTAGTATAAGAAGTCGCTTGAGAAAATTAGCCTTCGAGGCCGTAGGCCGAGAGGGCTAAACATTTCCCAGCGTGACTTATATGTAAGATTTCACAATAGTACCATAAATAACTATTTTATATTATCCATCACGCCACAAAAATTAATACTTTTGTGACACAACAATTTTTTTGATAAGTTTGCCGAAAGGAAAGAGTGTTTTATTACTCGGTACCACTCCAGGCGCCCCTTTTTACTTACGTATGCCTGTTTTTTGATTATATTATTAAAGGTTAATTTGGATCCGGCGGCATTTTATTTTTTGAGCCTCTGTATAAATAATTTGAAGGGGCCCGCGCCCGACTTTACGACCTCCAAATAATATGGAAAAGGCTTCGGGATGTTGTTTTTCGAATGTTTATCGCCATTCAGCATCAGGAATTCGTTCTCATTGCTTTCTTGGCATTTTGCTCTTTTATTTTTAATATTTTTTATCATTTTTTTAAATAATTTTTCTTAATAAATTATTGTTGCGTTTGAAAAATCTGTAGACGTATTCTTTGGTATTTAATATTGGTATTGTTGCGGACCCGTGTGGACTTCGTCTAACCTAGCTAATGTCCCGCCCCATTTAACCTTAATATCGCATTAAAGAATAGACACCGTAATGATTCATTCGAACGTTCGAGAACAATCGAGTTCCACTCGAATGGAGTAGTACATACGAGAACATTCGAAACCTTCTCTATGCACCTAATGATTTATGGATTATTCGAGAACTCTTTAGCTGTGAGTATATAAACCGATGGCTGGGGCCTGAAGAGGACAGAAATAAATAGACAAAAAAAAGGTTAAATACAAAATAAATTCTTTCTAGATAAATAGTTTGTAAATAGTTCTTTAAGTATTTTAATCGTTATTTTTTGTTACTTAGGGTAAATAAATTGTGACTTTCTACTCATACGGAACCGACGAAAAACTAACAGTATTAAGGCAAAAATGTACAAATGTTTATTAAGGGACTGTGACAGATATTAACTGAACAAGACTGATGTTAGTTGCCTTTCAAACTTTTGTTGGTCATTGTATATCAGAAAGAAAGTTTTTTATTTACGTAAAACATCAAATATTTATTTATATATTTAATGAAACATAAAAAAAAATATTACATATAATAACAAAGTACGGAAACAATATATCTAATAATAATACTAAAATTATAGATTATGGTTTAGCGTCATCTAACTTGTGGACTAGCACCAATGAACTTTCTGTTGAGTCCTTAAGGTCTCTTGCAATGGAGGCTGAAAAATATAGTTCTGATGAGATTCAATGTTTAATACAGCATTGTGTATGTAAATAAATAAGTAGTAAGTCTGTAAATAAGATAAATAGGAAATAGTTAAGTATACAAAGAAACAAACACTAAAAAATCGTTAAAATCTATAGGGAAACCAGCTTGTCTGTGACTTTATACTGTTTTTAAAAATGTTTAAAGTTGCATGGGTCCCTCGTTGTCAGAACAAAAAACTATACGTCTATTAAAACCATTGATGTTTTTTATTGGTTAGCAAAATTTGTTTGAGTAAAAAGTCAATGACAACTTGGTTTCATAGTTATTAAACAACTGTTAAACAACGAGTTTCGAAAACGACGTTTTGCACACGAGTTCGACAGTTTGTTGGCTCGAGCCGCAGGCAAGAGCCACAAGTCGAACGAGTGTACAGAGAAGTTTTCGAACGAGTTTTTTACGCTATTTTTTCTACGACTACAAATTAGCAGCAGACTCACTCAGTTTTTGCCAGTTTTATGAAATAATTTGCGATGTAATGATGACACTTTTCTGACGGTTGCGTTGCGTTTTGCTTTCAGCTAAACATTGGAGGTTAAAAATGTTAAAATTGGCACATGTCGTGTGTAAAATGACACATGTCGTGCGCTCAATCCTTAGCACACAAGAGTTGTGCAACAGTTGCAAACGCCAATTTCAGATCGAATTTTATCTAGTTATTTTTTGAAAAAAAAAGTCTTTTAAAAATAACCGATTTGCGATCGTGATTTTACTTTACATGATAGGGAAAGGCGTATTGGCAACGCCGCAACAGCACACTGTCGCGCGTCGCTTCGGTCGGTCGCATTTCTCATACTCCGACTTAATAAGATCCCTATGCGATTTACTTCCACACATGTAAATGCCGACCCAAAAGTAACAGTTGCCAGCACGGTATACATACCTTTGTCAGTGATAAGTACTTCTTGAGCAGGTTTATCATTAATTGACTTTAACATCCCTGAAATCCAAAAAAGAAATAATATAAAATGATATAAATACAGAGTAAGTATAGAAATTATTTATCAAACCAAAAATTAAATATTTACATAAAAAATATGTATTTATTATCTACATATGTTAAAGTTATTCAAATTAGGCAATATCAAATTATACAGAGTCGGCAAGGTATGGCTTTGGGTGGTGCAGTGAATAATAAAACCACTGTAATAACATTTTTCCACATTAAATGAAAACTTGTCTAGGCAAATTTCTACTATACATCTTATTAAGATCCTCTAGGTTTATGTATTTCTTTGAAACTTATACTCACAGCTTGAATTTTGATCCAGAATAATTTTTGGTGAGTCTGTCACAGCAGAATGTTTAGAATTTTTTCTTCTTCTAGTCAGTCGAGGTTTGGAAGCTTTAAAGAGAAAAATCATTGATAAGTTCTCACTGATAACTTATCAAGTTCTTACCTTTAGACTTATACGTAGATATCTTCAACAATTTAGCTTCAGTCGTTGTGGATTCAGTTTTGGGAGATGTTGAAGTTACTTCTTGAGGAGTTTCTTTGATTTTAGACTGAGGTTCTTTGATTTCAGGAAGCAAATCTAATAAAAATAAGACTTATATTGTTTCTTAATGGAATTGGTAAAAAAATATTTACCATTGAGTGGTACGGAGTTGTGGTAATTTTTTAAATCGCCAGATATGAGGTTATCGTTTTCATCTTTTTCTTCAGCATAGTTCCTTAGTCTGTGTGGAATGTAAGGATTGTCTGCAAAATGAAAAAAAAAATGGTAGAAAATCACTCAAAAAAAAAAGAATGGCTCAAATGGACCAAAAAGAGCATGTATCTCATATTTTTACATTAAATTACCGTTTTAATTAATTGTATCTTACAAACTGAAAATTCTAAAACAAATTCTATTTTTTTTAGTTATAATTACCAAACAGACTTATTGAAATCGACTACTAACTATGAAACTACGATCCCTTCCCCGACACAAACGGTACATTGTGAGACAGGAAATTGTAGAGAGAAACAAGCCCTATAACATAGGATACAACATTTTAATGAACAGTGCTTTCCATAGAATCAATAAAATGAAAAATATACGAAATAATATACATGTACTGATTTCTTTCGAAAATCGACAACTATGAAACTATAATCCCTTCCCGGACACAAACGGTACATTATGAGACAGGAAATTGTAGAGAGAAACAAGCCCTATAACATAGGATACAACATTTTAATGAACAGTGCTTTCCATAAAATCAATAAAATGAAAAATATACGAAATAATATACATGTACTGATTTCTTTCGAAAATCGACAACTATGAAATTCCAATCCCTTCCCGGACACAAACGGTACATTATGAGACAGGAAATTGTAGAGAGAAACAAGCCCTATAACATAGGATACAACATTTTAATGAACAGTGCTTTCCATAAAATCAATAAAATGAAAAATATACGAAATAATATACATGTACTGATTTCTTTCGAAAATCGACAACTATGAAACTATAATCCCTTCCCGGACACAAACGGTACATTATGAGACAGGAAATTGTAGAGAGAAACAAGCCCTATAACATAGGATACAACATTTTAATGAACAGTGCTTTCCATAAAATCAATAAAATGAAAAATATACGAAATAATATACATGTACTGATTTCTTTCGAAAATCGACAACTATGAAACTATAATCCCTTCCCGGACACAAACGGTACATTATGAGACAGGAAATTGTAAAAAGAAAAAAACAAGCCCTATAACATAGGATACAACATTTTAATGAACAGTGCTTTCCATAAAATCAATAAAATGAAAAATATACGAAATAATATACATGTACTGATTTCTTTCGAAAATCGACAACTATGAAACTATAATCCCTTCCCCGACACAAACGGTACATTATGAGACAGGAAATTGTAGAGAGAAACAAGCCCTATAACATAGGATACAACATTTTAATGAACAGCGCTTTACCGAAGGTTTTTGAGGTTCTACTTGTCCTTTCTACTTCCGGTCAATATTAGCATGTCGTTAAAGAACACCCTGTATAATACTAAAATTTTTATTTTTAGAACAAACTTTTAATGCAACTTTTTAATGTACTAGATTTACGGTTACCTATTATTATTAAGTTTTTTTAAGTTTTTAAGTTTTTTTTTATCTATTTTTAAATTAAAACCCAACAGGTAAAAATGCTAAACCAGGCAAATGCCAAATCAACTTAAGTTGTTATCCTATAATTTTGTGAATGTCAAATTATCTTTTCTAAACTTTACGCTTTTGCTTTTGCCTCATTTGAACCAGTTTTAAATTAGTAAAATACACTTCGAGGACACTAAGCGTAGGTAGTGTAACGTAGTAGTGTAGACAGCACAACAAATTATTTTTGACAATTGACATAATCATAGGTTGTTGACATCTACCTAGTTTTGCATTGTTCCTGTTCAGTTTTAATTTAAAAATAGATGGAGTTTTTGTTAAAATCAGTTTTCCCAAAATTGTTCAAATTTGGCACGTGTATTCAGCATACCCAGACCTTTAAAAAACTTATTTACGATTTTGCTGTAAAATCAACTGGGGAGTCAATATTTGAACAGTTCAAAATTTGCATGGTATTTCCTATGTTTCCAAGCTAATGTATATTTATTATACATGTGGATTTAATTGAAAAAAACTTTCTTGAAGCTGAAATGAATTCAAAACTGGTCAAGCTTACCCAATCTGACAGCCACAGGCAAGAACTGAGGACACGGCCTTGGAGCCGATTCAATACCGCCAAAAATCACCACGCATCCTACAAAGAATAGTACCCGCAGATCCATGGTACCCGGTAGCATCTTTCATCACTAAACAAAACCAACTAACAACAAATTTACGGCGTATATGTTCCCCAGCCGATATACCAGTTTCTTTATATACTTCCTGAAAAATTCGCCTCTTCCTCAGACTTATTTTTAGAATTTATGTCAGAACTCGAAACGAAACGGTTTAAAACAATACGTGTATTGTGTTTCTCGGGATCTTCACTAAATCAGCGGTAAAAAGAAGAAGATTGGGTGAGGAATAGCGTTTGGGATTATCTGTGAAGTAATTTTTATTTTCGACAAAAGAAAAATGAAGATGTGGGGGAGATATATTTGCATGGGTTTCGGCGATTTGAAGATAAATCGGTGAAGGAACCGGTTGTTTGGTTATTTTTGGCATTTTAATGAATTTTTGGTGTTTATGTTTTTTTCTTCTTTCGACAGGATCTACGTTTTAATTTGTTTATCGAGGTACATGATATATGATTCTTTGATAAAACTAATAAATTTATCAATAACACACACACGTACCGTATGGGATAATTTTCTCAAGTGACTTATACCGGGTGTTGCATCGTCGGACGGGACATAGGAAATCCCATGTAAATTTTAATGGGGTCAATTATTGGCTTCCCTAATTATTTTAGAGAATAATTCTATTTAAGTTTATTGAAGAGCACTAAAACCCACATTCAAAAGAATAACTTTAGATATTTTTGAATCGCCGATTTCTTTTTAAATATTTCTTCTTTCTTATGGCCCCGTATTTACTTATGAGCATCAATCAAGGTAAAAGATAACTGTCAAATGAAGTTGTCATTTCAGAAATTTACCTATTTAGTGCTTTATTATTATTGAAAACTCATTCCTACATCGGAAATGTTAAAGATGTATTTATAAATACAAATTAATATGAATTGAAGTAAAATAAAGTAATCAATTACAAGGTTAATTATAGTATTAATACAATATTCAATAACTTATTAATTTAGGTACTACTAAATTGTTAGAACTTTAGGATTTAAGAAGATGTTCAAATATTCCTCCATCGACTGCTAGACAATAACCCAGGCGATCATAAAATTCTCTTCTTACATTCGCTAGTTGGTAAACTGAAATTCTATTGCATTCGGCAGAAATAGCATTTTTTAACTCGTCTAGATTTGGGCATTTTTTATCCTTGTATATCCTGTTTTTTAAATGGCTCCAGAGAAAGAAATCAGTTGGCGAAATATCAGGAGACCTTGCTGGCCAATTTACTGTATGATTTAGGCCAATAACGTTTCCGTTAAAACTATTGCCTAAATGTTCTCGAACAGCCAGGGTACTATGTCCCTAGCGGCATCATGTAAAGCAGGTAAAATATGATTTTCGAGTAGTTCCAAATAATATTCTGCATTTAAATTTCGCGTAAGAAATAATGGCCCGATAATATTGTGTCCGAATGTCGCTGCCCAAACATTTACTTTCTGTGGATATTGCGTCCTTGTTTCGACAAACCTGTGTTGGTTTTCTTTGTTCCAATATCGATAATTTTGAACATTGGGTTCCTTATTTAAGGTGCACGTGTATTCGTCAGTGAAACATATGTTTTTAAAAATTTCCTATCCGTGTTTGCTCTTTCCATCATATCAAAACAAAACGCCTGCCGCCGTATTTCGTCCCCATCTCGTAGCTCTTGGTGCTTTTCATATTTGAAGGAATAGTATTTATGTCGTTTCAAAATTCGAAACGCTGTAGTGTGATCTATTCCTATTTTATTCTCAAGTTTTCTTGTGCTGATCTTTTCATCGTTCTCTTCCACGCACAATAAAACTTCCAAGTCGGTATCATTTCTTGCATCTTCTCTTTGTTCCTGCCTTGCTTCACATCTGCAGTTATTTATTAGGGTACCTTTGGTCTCAAATCTCTGGATATTCCTTGCGATTGTAGATTTTCCAGGTATCGGTCTATTCGGATACAGAGCAGCAAACAGGTCCGACACCTTTTGATAACTATTTTCTTGATAATACCATTTAATCATCAATATTTTTTCTTCGGTAGTGAATTCATGGCGAATATTTTCGATGTAGATATGAGTTTTTAATAATAATAATAAAGCAGTAAATAGATAAGTTTCTGAAATGACAACTTCATTTGACAGTTATCTTTTATCTTGACTGGTGCTCATAAGTAAATACAGGGCCATAAGAAAGGAGAAATTTTTAAAAGAAATCGGCGATAACTCGTAAACGGGCTAATCAAAAATATCTAAAGTTATTCTTTTGAATGTGGCTTTTAGTGCTCTTCAATAAACCTAAATACAATTATTCTCTAAAATAATTAGGGAAGCCAACAATTAACCTCATTAAAATTTACATGGGATTTCCTATGTCCCGCTCGACGATGCAACACATATTACAAGATTAAAAACTGCGTAGCTCAAAAATTCAGAACTTTAGTAATTGACACTATTTTAATTCTCATTTTTGTTATTTGGAATTTTTACGAAAAAAGAATGGGAAATAGAGGATAAATAAAACAATATTGTGAAAGTTAATTTTTCCATCTTCCTCGTCGATTTTTAGTAAAAATCTTACTAAATGCCAACTAGATGTTTATTAACCAACCTTGCTACTTCGAGGTAGGTACGCCAGGAATTTTATTATTAATACTAAAATAGAAATTCGAATCCTTACAATCTAATTTATTATACAGAGGTACATCTTTTGCATAAAGCTATAAATATCATTGTTGAACAGCGAAGGTCGGCTATTTTTATTAATCATCTTTGTTTCTAGCTATTCGAATGATTAAAAGAAATTTCTTCTCGGTGCTTCCGGAAGCTGAAAGAGTAATATTTTATTTAAATTATTCTGACGTCATTTTAATAATACGATCGTGGAATCAGGGTTTGATTATTGTGAATAAATTTAGTAGGAATGGTTAGTTCTTAATGATATTAATTAAGTTATGTAGTATTAGTAATACCCTTGTTTATATATTCTTAAAGTTGTTCAACCGACTAGACAAAATGTGCTGCCAACTGGAGGACAAATCGTGAACCTTTCGGGGCGGAGTCAAAAATATCGATTATTTTCGTAATTTTCCTCAGAGTAGGTAATGTAATAATATAGCCCCGGGTTTCTGCGAACTTTAATAGTGATCAGCTGATTAAGAAATTTAAACGAAACTTTTATTTTATTGTAAATTGTGGATTATTTTTGCCTGTTATTTTAAGAATTCTAAACCGTATTAACAAAGGAATTATTATTTCGATATGTTGGTACATTATTTAAAAGAAATAAAAATGTTTGTTTAGATAATTTTCGAGGTATTTTTTCTTTCTGAATGCACATTTTAAAATATTTTATATTCTTTGTCCCCTGCCCTATTATCCTGGTTGCACGTACATATGGAAGTTCTGTTTCTTCTAGTTTTAGAAAATGTTCATATTTCTTTTTTCTTTGTAGGTGTAGTGTAAAATTAGATTAATTTATTAAGTTTAATTATAGTGTTTAGTGTAGCATGTTAGTGTAGTCTACCAAAAATAGTTTAGTAGTGTTTTTATAGTTTATTTTGTAGTTAAGTAATAGGTGAAGGGATAATTTTGTTATTTTTTCTTTTTGTTTGATAAATTAGAAGTTTGATAATTTGTTCAGTGTAGAATACAAGAATAAGTAGTTGTGTAGTGTTTTTAAGAGATTATATTCGTTTATTTTGTAGTTGAGTAGTAGATGAAGGGGTATTTGGGTATTTCTTCTTTTTGTTTTTCTTGTAATAATTGTAGTAGTTCTATTAAGTATTATGATAGATACACTATATCTTCCTTCAACTTCGTTGAAAAGTGCGTTATCATATAATCTTGGTTTTCTGGTAGCAGAATATACAAAAACAAAAACTGATCAAATTTATTTGAAATTAAATTAATCTAGCCTTATTAATCAAATTAAACAGTCAAATAATAACAATAGTTAGTTTCAAAATACTATACAGGGTGAGTTTCCTACGATGTTCTCTATGGGCATCTCGGAAACTACTGGATATAGAGAGTCGGTTAATGGGGAAAGAATTGCAGTTTGGTGGGGTCATAAATATGCGCTTTTCGGATTTTTCGGAGAAGTTCAAGGCTTATTAGATATTTCGAAAAAACAAATTTTGGCTATTTTAAAACTTGTCTCTAATTCCATTATAATCTACCGTATGATCGAATAAAAACGGCGTCAACGATGGCTATGAAGTGAAGACCGCTGTCATTTTATATGTAAAATTATATGGGAAATATCATTGATCGTCATTTCATAGCCATCCCTGACGCCGTTTTTATTCGACCATACTGTATTTTAGACAAAAAGTTTTCAGATAAAAGTTGTAGATAATCACATACCTAATGAGTTTGTGTTTTCTGTTTTTTTTTCTAAAGTCTGTCATTTTTGACATATAACACAAACATATGTTTTTTTAGTAAACCATAGTTGGCCATGACTTCATAAAAAGCGCCATTTTTTAAGCTTTTCAGCGATAGGTATAATATGTTTTTTTCGAAAAATTACAAGTTATAGCCAATTCTTTTTCTTTCTTGGCTAATTTCCATAACAATAATACCATGCCAATTAGTTAGCATCAAAATGTAAAAGTTTTATGTTTTCAAAAAAAATATCGTAAAATTCGTAAAGCACTCAATTTAGAATAAAATAATCTAAGAATGAAATGATTCTTTTTATAAACCGGCATTAAATCAACTTAAAATAGGTATGTACCTTTTTTAAATATGAATTAACAGCCAATTAGCATAAAATTACCATAAATTATAAATAATGTACCAACATATCGAAATAATAATAATTTCTTTTTTTTAATACTGTTTACAATTCTTAAAATAACAGGCAAAAAATAATCCACAATTTACAGTAAAATAAAAGTTTCGTTTAAATTTCTTAATCAGCTGATCACTATTAAAGTTCGCAGATACCCGGATTATATTATTACATTACTCTGAGGAAAATAACGAAAATAATCGATATTTTTGACTCCGCCCCCTGAAAGGTTCACGATTTGTCCTCCAGTTGGCAGCACATTTTGTCTAGTCGGTTGACCAACTTTAAGAATATATAAACAAGGGTAATACACAATGCTTTCTGGAAGTTGT